TGTGAAGGAGAGTAGGGGGACTTTGGTTAAATAATGCTGTTAAAAATGAACAAGAGGTAATGGATTCCTTCAAAAGTTGAAAAACTCACTCGTAGGTTCCCTTGCCCTAGCAGAAGTCAGTCTGCAAAACCCTCCTCCTTCAGAGAACTCTGCTAGGGAACGTGTCTGTTTTAATGTTCGGCAGAGCTGAACTTCAGTATTACAGAGCTGTAATACCGTGTTTTGGCCGTATTATCAACTGGAGCAGTTTGCTGGGCCTCTGTTCATCGATTGGGCAGCTGAGCCGTACTAAGCAAGACCTTTCACCCTCTTCTTTCCATTACGTCTTTCCTGTCCGCGTTGGTTTCAACTGAAAGCTTATGAGATTTTCAGTGAAAAATATTGCCTTTGCCATCTACTGTCCAGTTCCATTCCCCCCCCCCCCCAAAGAAAGGCCTCTGGGAAATCTAATTCCTTAGATAAGACAATGTGCTCAACTCCCCTGTCTGGATGCACGGAAGCCTTAACCAATCCTGCCAGTCAATATAACCATCCATCGCTGTACATCTACTGCGTAACCGTGGAACACGTCAAACCCATTAACTTGTGAGACCTCTTGGCACTGGGACCTATGGTCCATCACTCTACAGACTCAACCCAGTGGAGCAAGTCAAGGCTGAAACTATTCTAGAGATGTAGCTGACAGAAGAAAATAAATAATAAATGTATAAATACACACAAAAACATATACACTGCGCCATAAAATTCTTAAGAAGAATTCTTAGCAGCCTTTCTCAATCCGGTCCTCGGGGATTCATGGACAGTCCACATTTTTGCTCCCTCCGTGCTTCCAGCGCACCTGCACCAAGTATTCTGTGTTCTTGATTGTCTGATGGTCCAGTTCTGGCAGCTGGGAGGGAGCAAAAATGTGGACTGTCTGGGCGTTTCCGAGAACTGGGTTGGGAAATACTGATACATAGTAAAAAACTACCTTGGATTGACAGGCAAGAACACTTTTATTGTGCTGATTTTTTCCTCACTTTAATTTGTAAATTAAATTGGATAGTAACATTACCTTTGTTTAACAAACTTGAAGTATGAAGAAATACATACTTGTACTTCCTTATGCTCTGTGTAAAATGCTAGAGCCATATGTACCAGAACTCTTGCGTGATAGGGTGTAATTTAACATCACTGTGTAAATTACATACTGCCTGTCAATATACAAAACGACTACATATAGATTCTCACCTGTAGACGTTTACATGTATTCATTTAGCAGACGTGTTTGTCCAACATGTGTCATACAAGTGAAGAATGTCTACATGGGCAAGACTGTTAGATACATCTGGTAAACATAGAGTTGAAATTTACAGAACAAAAAGGACATGGATCGCATAATCAGAAAGTGACAAGAGATAAATCGGTACATAGTAATTAGGGTGTCCCACTGTTAGAACTAAAAGTTTTTTTTTCCTTTAATACTGATTAATTTTAAAGTTAAACCTTTTTCATTATATTTATTTTATTGTTTAAGATCTGTTGCATCAGTGCTCAGACTCTTAAAATACAGGGCAGAGTAGCTCACACTCCGGCAGGTGACTCACTGCCTGTAGGAGCGCCCTGGGAGATGGTGGGATACGATGCAGTGCCCAGGGTCTAACGCAGAAAATGGCACCAGTGAGAGCCAGCTGATACCCCTCCGGGGGCAGAAGGCGGCGGTGGGGGTTACCGAGTCGCGTGGGCGGGGTGCGATTCCGGACGCCAAAGTGATAGATTTGAGGAGGTTATTGAATCCAACCGCAAAAGTGGTGTGGGTTTAACTTTCAGCAACAAATTTCGAGAGGTGTAACCTTTTAATCACTTGTGCAGCATATTGCGTTTCATTTATTTCAGCTTGCGGCAGAAAACGGTGCATTGGTTTTGACAGAAAGAAGTGCTTCCTCATACCTGATACCAAAAGGTCAGACCTTTTGAGGTTGGATTGAATAGCCAGCTGTTAAAGGGATAAAAGTTACCTGTCAGTGCCATCATCAGCAGAGCTGCCATGATTTTATGCTGAAGAGCAAGGCTAGATTTCTGGATGAGTAATTTTAATAAGGAGAGACACCGCTGTGACAGGTCAGCCTTTGCGGCACATAAGGGTGATATGAACGGAATCTCCCAAATGACGCGGCGTGTTGTGTTAACAGGCCGAGGCGATTATTAACATGTCCGACAGCCGTCAGACATCAGTGTCTCTGAATGAAACGCAAATCGGTGCTCAGTTTCCGAATCGATCGCAAATCTCACAGCGTCTCCAGGAACAGGACTGGGAGCAGCGTACCGTCTCCATTGACGACTACTGCCAATGCATTATTACAGTAGATATTTAATAAATTGTTGTTCGTATCCCATTCAGGCGTCTCCTAATCCGTTGCTCAGCTTGGATAAGTGAGTGCATAAATACATAAATAAATACACAATAGATAGATAGATAGATAGATAGATAGATAGATAGATAGATAGATAGATAGATAGATAGATAGATAGGCAGGCAAGTAAGCAAATGCACATTTTTCGTTATGCGTCTTTTGTAGTTATAGCGCGTCAGACAAACTCCCGATATAGATTTTGACACGGCTTCTAACCTCAATGTCAGTTCGCCGCTACTGCCGGATAATGACAGAATTTTATGTAACAGTCCAAGATCCGCACTTTGGCTCGCGCGTTACTCACGACCGCGCTTTCCCCTCATTTCCAAGCTTCCTTCTCGGGGTGAAATACGACAAAAAAAAATACTTTTTTGATATTATCTTTGCATTAAGGATGCACTGAGTTAACCGCCCATTGTGCGAGAACACAGCGCGCATTCCCTCGCTTTCTTGCCTGCCACACGCCCAAGAATATTATATAGGCCTATTTTACACACACACACACACACACACACACACACACACACGTATGTATGTATGCATGTATGTATGTATGTATGTATGTAGGAAAGGTATATGATTTAATAGCCACGACTTGCACACACCATATGGACTGAGGCACAGGCTGCCACACCTGTAACCAAGCCAAAGTCTATTGCAATTCGTTACCTGCAGTCCTATATATTGCCACTCGATTTCATTGCGTGATGACGCATTCTGTGAGATTATTACATAAAGTAACGGTGAAGTATTACATTAACACTAACCTTGCTTCGCTGTCGGCGAAACAAAATGTCAACTTAGTTAAATTATCCCGGATGAAAGCAACAAAACTGTAGAAAGCGGGGAGCCTAAACGTGACACTTCATTTTAATGTCCTTAAAACAGGTACTTGAGTATCTAGCAGTATCTTGAGTATCTTCTGCATCACCCCCTCTCTACTTTAATAATATTGCATTATTTCATTTCAAGTATTACAAACATGGCTTTCTTCAGTCGGTGAGTTGCTTGCTCAAATATTGCGCATTGTAAGATTCATTTAAGAGCGCAGCGGCAATGTGGCCAAACGCGATGCTGACGATGTTCTGGACATTATCGGATCTTTCCTCGCAAAGTATACCACGCTATGACAGTGTATTAGTAAAAAAAAAAAAAAAAAGGTCAAATACTACTATGTAATATGCTCCCCTCTGCCTTCATGTAAGATCTGTCCCAGGATGGGTGCCGACCAAACCATGTTTGAAAAATCACGCGATTCATCTTGATTGTTATATGACTGAAAATCGTGAAATTACGTCCGATCGCATCAAATCAGCAAAATTCTATTCGCTAGAATAAAATGCTTGAGTCCAGCTGTTACTGCGCGCAGACGGGAGCGTCAGGCTCGCGCCGCAGGCACAGAGTGTGACAAGCGCCTGCCGAAGTATCCAGCGGCACCGTCGTTTTTGTTTAAATTACCGGACAATTTGCAAGATTATGAAATCACTGGCATGTTAAATAACAATAGGTTTATCGAAAGCAAAACAAGAAATACAATATCCTACCAAAACAGCTTACTTGAGATTGAACAATTACATCTCCCCGTCACCAGCATTACATCTAATAAGGGCTTCACGACGCTACTGATTTTACCAAAAAGTGATTTTAATGTCTCAAAATACAATTAAATAATTATATATCAATTAAACTGAGCAAGAGAGGGGAAATCAATTCCTTAAGTGTCCTGCTAAAAGTAATGCAAATCAAAAGCGCATTTAATATAGGCTACTACAGCTAAAGCAGGGATCATTCTTCATTACATTTCAAAAGTTAAGACTAGTAATCATCGAAATATTGCGCAGTTGAAGACTGGCCAACCACGACAATCAAAAACTCCATTTACAAAATAGTAGGATTGATACCTTCAGGCGGAAAATCACGTTTAAATCACTTTTCAAACGATGTTATCATATAACCACCTGGCAGAATGACAGAGGAATAACCGACCTTATTTATCCAATCAATGGTCCGTAACAAATTTAACTCTACGACCAGTTAAAGCAGCTATACGGTGCTTATGTGCTGGTAAGCGGAAAGCTGTATATTTCCCCAATGCTACGATTCAGGTTTTTGAGTATGAATCTAAAACTAACAATGAGAGCACGATCATCTCCCGCACTGATGCCACGGCCGGCAGGTACATTCAACGCAGCGCTCCGTTTATTTCCCAGCCACCAATAAGACAGTGAAATACAAACAGCGATTAACCGGAGGCATTAGTCCGATCTGCAGCTGAGTGCGATCCTCATCTTTACCTCACGGCAACAACATTAACTCGATGCCATCAATGTAACGCGAGCGTTGGATACACCCGACCATAGACCGGACTTTCCACAAAGATCGCGCCGGCTGCAAGCGGATGCCCCGGCTTTATTAACGTTTACTGCTCTCTCGTTTTTTGTGCTTAAGCATCGAGGTAGCTTTACCACTCACCCATAAACTGAGGGTTGCGCCCCACATCCCGAGAAGCGTGGCACCGAGTTGCAGCGGGTGCGGTTCCCCAATGAAAAAGCATATCAGATGTAACCCTGCGCGCATGTAATTCGCCCCTACAAGGCTGTTCCTTACCTTGAGGTTAAGGATGCTCCTTATTAATTATTGTTGTGCATATACACATCGCTAGTCACGTCGTCCTATGAAAAAAAATCATTTATCACGTATAATAATCCCGCATATATCGGTTCTGCCGAAAATCCAGGCTGCCGGGTTCGCCTCGTAGAAGATACGCTTTAAAATCCCCCCCACAATATTGGTGGATGCTGTGTGTGTGATACCACAGGACCGCTTCTCAGTTCCGCTTCTAGAAACCACAGCTGGCTGTGCTGGAAGCTGAAGGGTGATGTCATCGATACCCCCCACCCTTCTGTCCTTGGCCCCCCCCTCTTTTTTCACACACACATAAGTGCGCACGCACACACACGCCCCGCCACTCCGTGCTGACCCCTCCCTTGCATCCCTTGACGTGATGCAGTCAGGTCTCTCGCCGCGTCTCCGGCAGCATCCGCAAGCGCGTGTGTTTTTTTAAATGGACACTCAACGCTGTAAACGCTAAATAAATCAGACACGTCACAAATATAATTTGGACTAATCGCTCTAAAAATGCGTTGAGCTTCTGTTGCAAGATTAATTCAGCCATCCGTGAGATGGAGGAAGGCAGGAAACACTTAAAAGATTCAATTACAGGACAAATACAAATATTTGTCTTATAAACTTACTTGAATACATATTGTTGTAAAAAAAAAAAGGTACTGAGCATAAAACCTTAGAAAAGTAGAAATGTGGTCAAGACAAGTTAAAATGAGACGGTCTGGCTGTCGTTGAGGTTTATTTGAAAAGCCACAACAGGGTAAGCCCTCGGACAGAGAGGAGTTAGAGCAGGGGTATCAGACTCCAGTCTTGGGAGGTCAGATCCCTGCACATTTTTGCACGTTTAACACACCTGATTCAATTACTTGTGCTAATTACCACACAGCTCTTGAGCTGAATCATTTGAGGTGGAACAGGGAAAGAACTAAGCTACACAGGGCTCCGGCCCCCCAGGACTGGAGTTTGACACCCCTGGGTTAGAGGATATCTCCCAGGAGAGTCAGTAGGGGGCGACAGTGTGACCTCCTCTCAATCAGTGAGTTTAAAACTAGGTGAACATAATTTCACTTAATATGTACAAACAGGTGCATGGACTAAAATGCAAATTTAAGTACAACATTATATATAAATGAAATAAGGTGTTAATGACAAGCCAAAATAGCGGCAAAGTAGGTATTTAGCACAAATGTACTTGCCTGTTTTTTTGTTCCTGTCAAACATAGGAACACAACCTAGAATGATAACAGAATCAAACACAGAGCTGCCTCAAAATCAAGCCTTGTCATGGCAGATAGAAGTAAAAGGTCAATCTGGTCATTTGTTATCTCTCACTGTGTCCTGCAATTGCGAAGGGGGTCATTTGACTTTAAATGAGCAAAATGAGAGGTGGCTGGATGATTCTGAGTATATGGAGACATTGATCCTACTTACACCCAAAATTCCCTCGAAGGATCTTCACCTCAATTATTGGTATTAGGTAATATTGACCCTAATTCTGCGTATGGAAACCAATTTGTACAAATATGATAGGCTGGTACCATATGGTCTGCAGCTGCGTTCTGCCAATCACCTCCTACTCCAGAGCTAGCAAGCGGCTATTTGTTTAGCGTTTTGGCTTCTCAGCACCATAAATATAGGGCAAGTCTGTTTTTCCAGTGTCTGGTAGTTCACCACTTGTGACGCAATCCTATTTGAGTACTACTATTGGCTGTGAAAAAGTGGTCCTAAAACAAACACGTTCAAAGGAAACTCAGTCAGCGACGTGACGGCGATTCTCAGAGCGCCTGACCCTAAATCGCCGCCGTGCTGTCTAATGTTTGTTTGCTAACTGGGCACCCAGAACCCTTCCAGCTGTTTAGGAAGGAAGACATTAGACATTGGAACAGCCAGTAGCCAAAACCAAAGCCAGGAGGAGCGACGGAGGCCAAATGGACTGTGTCAGTAGCACTGCTGAGGAGCCATAGATGGCAGCAGAATGGGACAGTCGCCTCATTAGGTTAAGAGGATTTCATTCTAGATGAATGTGTGTTGAGTCAGCGGCAGTGGATTGAATGATAGACTCATGAAACATATTTGTTCTTCTCTACATGCTGGAAGGGAAAACAGTGCCAGCAAGGGTGAGGACTCCAAAGACCCAGATGGCCTTCCTTTATCCTCATATAAGGGGCAAAGAGGAGCTCTTTAAGTCAGCCCCTCTATGAAGATGACACACTCCGCACACAACATTAGTAGCTAATTAGCCCATAGGCTACTCTTAAGAGTTTTGGACACGGGCCTGGTCATTTTGTATGACCCAGAGGCCCTGTGGCATATAGAGAAGTTCTAGTCATAAAACATTGAAAATAGAGAAACGTCCACTCACATATAACACACCGTAAATTTGGGGGTGGGGGGGGCACCCCTCCGAAGACTTCTCGGATCAGGGGGCGAGCTCGTAATTTTACTCAGAAGCAAACTCATCACTTTATTAACTGGCTATGTGACATATCAGTACCAAAGCATCCTTCTTTGTTTTTTTGGAGGGGGGGGGGAGCGTTAAAACCTGTTATTTTACTACAAGGATAAATGTGTGCCATAGCTACTTCCAGGAGGACAGAAAATTAATCTTACCACACAGCACAGTGCTTTAGTGCCATAGTAATGGCTGCGTTAGGATGTTTACGTCACATCGACGGGCAGGTATAGGAGCCCCGAGCTGTTTTTGCGTAGCTGCCTTTGCTTACATGAGTAAACGCGGGGAAACCTGAAGATACTCAATGTAGTTATGCTGTAAAGATTCTTTTAAAGACTCCCAATATGAATAGAAAATGAGCAGAACACAAATGAAAGAAGGAAACACTAATGTTTTATGTGTTTAGTAGTCCTACTCATTTGCGTGACACTCGTGTGCAGCGTCAAGGTATATTCATGGAAAATTCTTCCTGTCACGTGAGAACCTCCGTGGAGATACCATCGGCAATGTGAACACAACCTTCAGGACCGCGTGGGCCTTTGGGGAACGCCATGGAGAAGCCCCCCCCCCCCCCCCCCACAGCTTCCGTACAGCATGCAGATTCACCCGAACACCCCGTTTCCGCACAGCTTTTTCCCATTTGTGACTTGGCTGTATCTATTTTCCAATCTTTCTATCTCTCAATTTTCTAATTTCTCCGTCCTGCCAGCGTTAGACGTCTCAGCGCTGTCTGCTCGCCCCAAGGGCGCTCGGCTGAATTTAGAACCTGACGAGGAAGCACTTAATGAGGACCGTTGCTATGAAACAAAGCTGGCGCTGGTTGATTAATTGCTAATTCAAGCCTGATGCTAAAACCCAGTGTCCTTCCACGTTGGTACGTATCTACATGAGGTAATAGCAAGCAGTTTTCCACCAGCCGCATGTTTGAATGGCACAACGACCCCC